CATAAAGAAAGTATATAAAAAATTATACTTATGAGTTAGTTAATATTAAAAGTGGAAATTTTGTAATATTTGACAAACTGGAAATATTTTTTTGTCATGATTGGTTCCTCTTGGCGTACACGAAACCATTTTAAACCAAATTGGACATCCTAGAGTGAACTTCTGGATTTTGGCCCGCCAAAACGACCGGAGGTGGCTCAGCTGTGTCTCAGAAAGTCATATAAGAGAATAACTAATGTTTTCGTCCTTTTTCGTTCTACTTTGGTAGAACAAGATTATTAGCAATTCTAAAGTATTCGTTATTTTTGTTCTCCCGAAGTGGAACTTTCTTCTTCCTTTAATTACTCAAATGGATTTCCTTATTTATCGACATGTCAGCCTCTAATGTCATGTTACCGAAGGCTAACTATTGTCAGTCCTGTCTTTTAGAGGGGGTTGCAATCTCCTCCCTGTTTAAGACCTTCCTCTAGCGAGCTAAGCTTATTTTTCACTTCTACTAGTGTAAAGAGTTTTCCCTTTGATTTTTCTACAAGCAAGCCTTTTGTTATAATACCGAGTGAAAATTATTTTATTAAAATATATCATAAAATAGTAATAAAAAAAATAATATTTATATATTAGAGCAAAACTAAATAGTTTTAAAAAAAAAATTATAAATTTAAATTCAAAAATGGTTTAATAATTAACAATGTTAAAATTAATTTATTACATAAAAAATAAAAAAATACATTGACCAGAAAATTTTTTTTTAAGAAGTATTAAGAGCGATAAAAATAATAGTAAAGTTAAAACTAATTAATACTAGTAAGAAGTTTTAAGTTAATATTTAAAAATAAATTAAAGCGGAGAGGAATTTATAATACTAATTAAATTTATATGAAATTAATTCCGAATAAAACATTTAATATAAGACTATATTGTAAATTATTTTTAGTAAAATATCATATTTAATAATTTAAAGAAAAAAATTAAAAGAAAAAGTGGTCCAAGCATAAAGCATATTAAACAATAATTTAAATTTTTAAAATCAATAAAAGAAAAATTATTATAATATAAAATAAATTAATCTCTAAATTCAAAAAAATTGTAACATATAAAATTATAAAAAAAAAAAGAAATTAATATACCTAAGAAAAGCGCAACTTAAATTTATTTAATTTAGATAGTAAACTTTAATTTAGCATTTTAAGTAAATTTTCAAAAGTTAATAGGAATCTACAAACTTCTTTAAAGGCTTTGTAAATCGCAAAGTAAACATTTTTTAAATTTTTTTCGTAAACTTCAATCAGATGTTTGACGAGAGTATGATGTTCAGCTTTTATTTGACTGCATACAAAAAAAAAAGAAAAAAAAAATTAATTACAACTTTTTTTAATCAAGGAAAAACTAATTTTTCTTTTGATTTTAATAATAATAATTGGTAATAAAGTATAACAAAAAATTAAAAAAAAAATAAAAATTTCGATAACATATTTCCAAAAATATATATTTAATCAAAGCTAAAATTTATTATAAAGTTCTACTAGTAAGAATCTTAAATTCTATTTAGAAAACTAAAAAAATTATTTTTAAAATGAATATATAGTTATACCAGTGCACTAAGTGATTATCGAATTTAAGTTACTCCACTTTCTTCTCACATTTTCACGAAATTATAACGTCCCCCTCTTTCGCTGTTAGGCCTGCTTTATCTTTAAACTTAGTTTTCTCAACAGGGATTAGACAAGGACAAAAAGCATGTATTAAAGCCTTAGTTGGTACATGGGAGGAAGCAATGAGGAAAGGTTAATAAGAGAAAAGGGATTGCCTCACATCGTAAAGATATATAGTTCCACTGAATCAACTGCACTTGATTCTTCTTGGCTGTCCCTTTAATAAGCTCTAACTATTTTCCACTATGTAAACAGTCTTTTCAGTCCTCCACCTAGTATAGCATCCCTTGGTAATATTTCTGGCCCATTTAAGTTGTAGCAAGTACCGGTAGCATAAATGAACCAAAAAACTTATACTTAAGAGTCTAGACAGTAATAAAATTGAAAGGTATTACACCACGTTTACAGATTTATAACTAATATAAAATGGTAACTAGACATAACACTGGTGCAAATAACAGTAATATGAAAGCATTGGTTTTGTTAATTTAAAACAACGTTAAAAACTACCAGAAAATTGGGTTCTCAAACTTTTTAGCAGTTTATAAACCGGCACAATCACTTTGGTTAAAGAACACCCTATAAATAAGCAATACATCTCCGCATTAACTACATAATTCTCTTTCTAGCCTAGTAATGACAAACTATTGTGTTGTTAAAAACAATTCGCGTTTGTAGTGGTCTCAATTAATTTCAATATTTAAAGCCCTTAATTTACTCGTCTTTAGCGCTACCAATCAGAGAATAATTATAAACTATCGGGCATGTGATGTGCGTTTGAAGTTAAGTTGTTTAAGTTGTGAATAGTATTGGTGTTATAGTCGAAGATGAAAGGAGTTTTAAACCAAGTAAAAGAACCAAAAAAACTTTTGTCTAGGGCTAAGAAGTTGGCGCAAGAGAGGCTGCTTAAGAGAATATTGTCTTTACTTCTCTTTTTATTTGTTCTAGAAGCTTTAACAGGCTCGTTTTCATAGTTCGCCTTTACGAAATTGGGTGGTCAGGTAACCCTATATTTTCAAAGCTTATTAAATTCTGGAATGACAGAAGAAATTAGCCAATTTTTACATCACTCAATATCTAGTCATGTTTGTTTATATGTATTTATTAGTCTTTCTAGATGACAACGAAAAAAGCAATATTTTTAATTTAGACTGGTTGCTATTGTGCGTTTTATTTTATTGGTTGGGAGACGTAAAGTTTGACTGGGAACTTTTTACACTATAACCAGTTATCTTTTGCCTTGAAGCCCTTGTTAAAGAATTTACTCCGATCGCCCAGGGTGTTTTTGGGTTTTAAATAAACTTCTCTGTTTTTATTGCGGAAAGGGCTATTAGTCTGCCTTCTGGTGAATAAATAATTGTGAGCTCAATTTCAGACTGCTTATTTTAGCATATCAAAGGTCACGCAATGATAAGTTTTATTGCACTAAGTTGCATTGCTTATAGAATCCAGAAAAGTTGGGGCTGTAATATTATTAATAATGTTCAAAACAATAATTTTTGTAAATGTTATCTATATGACACACTCATTTGCTGATGTTTTTGTGGGCGCTGGACATGTGCTGCTATTAGCTTTTTGTTAAATGTTTTTTTTGATCTCAGGTAACTTTTAATTAAAAGGTTTCTTTAAAAAAAGTAATTTTTTTTTTTTCCCAGATCCGACAAGTTCTGGGGTTTCCTATTCTTTTTTATTTTAATTCCTTTATTAGACGTGCTCGACTTTTGCTTTTCCTCTCCTGGGTCCTTGACGGAATGGTACTCTAGAAGAAGGATCCACCCGCCGTCTAATGCTGTCTTAAAATTCTATTAGGCGAATTAACATGGCTCGCTCCTGTAAAGTGGATTTCAGCTTAACCTCCTTATTGAGGGTTCTACTTAATATTAATACTCAAAGCTACTTGCAAAGCTTCTTCTAAGGAAGGACTTTATCGGCACCAGTACCTTCGGTTATCTTTTCGGTGCTCTCTCACGGCGACTTCGACAATGGTGGGCTTCGCTCTGCAGCAAACATTACTAGCTAATATTGAAATCCTCAACCGGCTAGATACTGAGCTTGAATTTTTTCGTATTAAAAAAAAAATCTTATATAAAAAATCAGGCATTTGCGGGTTTCTTCGGTCACATACTCTTTTTAAAAGTTTTTTAGCTTTCTTCAACTGGCCGACTATTCCCAGCACGCTTATGTTGCGTTCCTCCCTTTATGAGTGCTTTTTTAGCACCAAAATCTTCATATTACGTCAAAGATTTACTTTTAAAAATTGAGGCATATTTGTTTAGAAGAAAATTAACCAGCATTTCTTAAATATTTTATTGTAAGAATATACACAACTATTACATAATGAAAGAATCACAAGGTTTCTGTCACCGATGTAATAAAATATTTTATAAAATAGCAGCGATTAAGAAAACATTATAGCGAACGATAAAGATTGAAAAAAAAAAAATTTATAAATAATTGTGCTTGCACAGAGAAAGAATTTCCTTTAAATAAATAATTTCGTAGTTGGGATTATGGCGAATCAAACAGTGAAGTTTGAAAGTTCATATATTGAACAAAACGTTAATAAAAGTACGAATTACTTGATACCTGTCGGCTATGATATAAGGAATCTCCACGTCGTCAGCTACCATGCCCGTAACCTCAAGGGCATTTCCAGGCTTGTTCTTAAGAAAATTGCTGAAACGCAGATTTTACTATTACTGTTATCACTTCAACTCCGTCATCTGGAAGTAGTGAGATGGAGTGCGCTCTCTATAAGTCACTAAACTAAAATAATGCAAAACCAATTATGACCTCCTTTAGGACTGTCTCTTCGTGGCAGGGGTAGTTAACACAAATCCCAAAAACTCTTAAAAAGTATTAGTTGAATTAATCATTAAGTAAACTAAAACGTGGACTTGTAACAACAAATAAAGAATAAACACTTTATTCGGCTAATCTCAGGCTTTCTTAAAATTATCTATTAAACCATTAGTTTTTTTGAAGTAACCCAAACTATTTATATAAACTTGATTATTATAAATAATAACTTTTAATTTTAAGAGACAGTGATAGACCTATTACGTAAAAAGACTGTCGACTAGTAAGTTGAAAATTGAAAAATATAATTAACGCCTATTTAGCGCTATGAGAACCGCACTAGGCAAACTTTCTTTTTAAGGAAACCGCTTCTTAACGGTTAAGTAAGCAATAGATCACTCCTTAAAGTTTTTTAATTTATAAAGAAAACAGAAGCAACTTATAATGAAGAGCGAAATCTATTCAAAGGGTAGCAGTAATTATGTACGTAAAGTACTTGATAACGTCTTGTATAAAAAGTTGGTGGTAACGTGTAGGCTCCTCAACTTTAGTTAAGCCCGAAAGTTTTAACCTGAAGTCTTTCATAATTAAGGAAGATGATAATGCATAAAATTAAAGCCCTCAATAGGCGTAATTTGCAAGCCCTAGTTTTTAAGAAGTATTAGGCGCTAATGACATGAGAGTACACGCAAACAGTGTTAATGCAATTAGCGTCATGACCTAACACAACTCTAGCCTTCTGTCCACCAAATTCTATTGATTCTGAACTAAGTCAACTTAGCTAATACAACATTTAACCAGTTATACTACAACTACCCAGCCTTCGCGCAAGAACAAAAAGATCTGTAGCTTGTATGGCTATGCCAGATTATACTAAACAGGGTAACTACCGTATAACTCAAACCTATCCAAAATTTTAGCAGTTATATTGTGTAGTGTGTTAAAACCTTAAAGCTCTTTGCGGTACAAGTCAAACCTCAGAAGCTAATAGTAACCATAAAAGGTTCCGTAAGCGTTAACTACAGTCTTATGGATAACTATATAAGACCGTTTTCTGAACCGCATTGTAAGTCAATCAGAGTTAAGTAAATGTTTTTTCCAAAGCGATTAGTTCTTACTTCTGACATGTAAATAACTGAGATGATATTCTTACCTCAACAAAGTTAGCTAGTAAAAGTTATTAGTACTTAAAACCTTAATAATTGATTCACTGTCCTTTTGAGTTGGGCGTCCACTTTTTGGTATAGTATGAAGTGTAACAGATTGAGATTAAGAGAAAAAAATTATTACTAGATTTGCTCATATAATGAAATGAAATTAAATATTATATAAAAGTGAAATCATTTAATAAAGTAAGAATTGAGAGAGATGATAACAATGGGCCTCCAAGCTAACTAGTTTGTGGGGTGAAAAATGGAAGTGTTGGTGCCACCCAATTTTACTTTCCCGGAGTTACCTGTTTGATTATAGTAATTTTTATTACTTTTTTTATTGGAAGTGGCTCGCACACCTTCCTATTAGCTTTATAGGCATATACTTACAATGCTAAACAGTCTCTAGGGGGCCTAGTGCCAGCGACCGTCGCATATTCCTTATTGATCCCTCTACAATTTTCCAGTACAGTGGGCTGGATGGCAGGGGTCTGCGCGCGGTGATCAATATCTCACTACCCTGTAGGCCCTTTAGGAAACCCCGACGCCTCTCTCTGGTGAGTGCGCTGTCTGGAGCTAGAGTCCCAAACACTCAATAAAGGGGAAACCACGGCCACACGTCTTGCTCTAAACCCTCACTGCAATAAACCGGAGTAAGTTAAAGCTCGCGGTTGTTTACTCCTGTTTTTGTATATCCGGGTTTTTCTTATCTTGTGGTAAAAAGGTTTGAGTTTCGATTTATATGAACGGAAACAGCGAGCAGCCGTTTATATTTTTAAGAGCATAGACAAAAAATTACAGATCTACCTCTCAAAAAAAGCTATCTATAATAATCAATTTTTTTGAGTCTCCAGGGTATGAACATATGCAGAATTCAATAAAGAATTGGCTTTTAACTTGAGCGTTTTTGTATGTTAAAGATGAGAGAAGAGCAATAAACTTTGATCCACTCGCATTCACAAAAAAAAAGTTGATGCGTAATAACGTTTATATTAGCACACTTGAAAATTTTACTTATGTATTAGATTTAATTCTTTAAAGTTGATGAGCAATTAAGTTTCCGTTTGCATACCTGAAAACTTTACTTAGGTATAATTTTTATTCTTTTATGAACGGGAGCATTACAGAAGAGTTGCAAGTATATTTAGCGCACTTGATGTCATGGGACCAATCGATGGTCGCCAATCGAGGAATGACGTCTAAAATCAGTCGTTTGCAGTTTTCCGAGTTCTTGCGTAGCGTTTCCAAGACCAATTCCACCGACACCTGAGAATTAGCCAAGAAAAAGTTTTAATATAATACGAAATCTTGCCTACGAGGCAAACGTACATGTTCCCCTTCACTACGCCAGCAGTCGTAATCTGTAGCTAAGGCAACCGATGCGTAGAGTAAACCTTTTATTAAACAAAAAGACGCATATAAGTGTACGCCCAGCGAGAATTTTACGCAAGACCCACCAGCCTCGTTAGCCAGAACCACTTCGGGA